TATGTGTATGTATATATGTATGTGTATATGTATATGTATATATATACACATATGTATATATGTATGCATGTGAAGTTTCTTTCAGTACGTAAATCCAACTGCTCCTTTAATCTTTTTCTTTTTTCAAGGAGAGCTGTCTCCTAATAATACATCAGTGAGCTAACCTCACCTCATGGTTTACTCTCCCACTTCCACTTATTCTCAGCAGCTGGTCGCCCGCTCCCAAGCCAGTGGATGATAAATGTCACACGCACACACACGTAATACACACAGGCCAGCCAGCACGCATGACACGACGCATGTCTGTGTACATCAAGGCTGCTCTTTCTGCAGCGCTCAAAGTAACTGATGGATGAAGCTGGGTGGAGATTTGTGGACCAGTGTCCTTTGTGCTCAAAGGAGCAGCACAAGAAAGAATCATAAATTGGAATTGGCGCTTGATGGTGGCGGCGCACTGTACTATTGCCATGGATAGGTGACTGTTTATGGTCTGCAACGTGAAATTTCTGCTGCATCAGCAAACGTCGTGTGCAAATAAAAAAGCGAGGACATACGGTGTGCTATCTGGAAGAGGGTTATAGACTTATTTTACATGTCGTATGAGCTTACTACTGTCGCACACATAGATTGTCTTTCTTTATCGGCCGACGTGGGGATTAAATAATACGCTGTGTCACGGGCATTAAAGCAGAATTCAACCTCCATTACAAACCTCTGGAAGTAAGAGTCCAACATGGCCAATCATTCTGCCACTTTTCAGGTTTTATGTGTAGTCAGTGAAGTAGCCGGCCTCAGCTTTGGTCTCGGCCTTGGCTGTTTGCAGCCATGATGAAAATGTTTGATCTTGATATGGAGCCAAGTGTGAAACCCTGGGGAAAACCTCCACGACGCTGAACCGTAGCATAGACATTACATAAGTGTAGTTTAATCTGCAGCAGTTGATAGTAACAGAGGGAGACAGAATGAATTTGGCCGTGGGTGTACCGAGGTGTCAGTGTTTCATGCTATATTTTGTGAGTTTTTTGGGTGGATGCTCCTCAGCCTATGAGATGCTTGGTGGAGATGGAGATGCTAGAGAAGGGCGAGAGGATTTATTACCTGCCATTAGAAACACTAATCTGTTGCAGGTGTTTCTGGCTGTTCTCCCAGGGCCACGCCGGCTCTCCTCCCCGGGAGGCCCCACCATATTTGTGTGTGTGACAGAGAAAGAGACAAAAGGAGTTTTATTTTTTTCCACGGCATCTGAAGGGAGAATATACCATCTCCTCCACAATCCTCTTATATCACAGAGTGTCAAGATAAAGACAAAGAGAACATGTATTCCAATGCTGTTCCCCCATCAGTCATATCAATAGACCACAAAGCAAAGTGTGAGAACACTGTGCAAACTTTCAGATTAAAGATTCACGGCCACTTGCTCTAGGAGCGTCATCTATACGCATCCAGGAGAAAGTGCACTTCGTTTTTGTTTCTCAATATAATATTCTCAATTATAGTGCGATTTTGAAATCGCACTATAATTTTTGGTGAGCCATTCGACAATGACAACTCACTCTGGGTAGGCAGTCGAGAAACCACTTTATCAGCAGGGTACAACCTCTGGGGTGTATTACAATGAAGAAAAGACCACCAGGATGGATTGAGCCAACAGCTTCACAGGGAAGCCTGCGGTGCATTTGGGGGATGATGAACAAAGACACAAAGAGGAAAAAGTCCTGCTCTGTAGGAAGTCTGCGACGCCCACTGTGGCCAACTTTGGAAAAAGAGGGAACTGAGTGAGATAGAGAAGAATGGAGACGGAGAGGAATCCAGGGGTGGAGAACAGTGGAGACAGGAAAAGGATCAGGGGGAGGATTGATATGGCGATGGAGGTTTTAAAAAAAGCAACAACCAAAAATCAGATGATTCAATCTGTGAATACCAGGACAAATATAAAGAATAATTTCAAACTAGTTTACCACAACGCCATCAAATGCATGATCTGCTATTAAGGATTTTTATTGTTTTTTTTGAACAGAGAAAGGAATTCACTGTAGAAGGACGAAGTCATGTGATTTCACTACTTTGGCACTACTGCCCTCACGTGGACAATCAAAGTACTATTCGATCCTCACGGTAATGCCTCTTTCTCAACGGGTATATATTGAGTGTTTGCTTGATTCCTATAAGTCTGTATGGCTGAATGTTTTTGTATGAATAAAAAAAAAATCACTTATCAGGTGTCCTGGCAGCCTAGTGTTTAAGGAGACAATATCTTATTAAATATGTTCTACTTTGCGTACATTTTTATATTTGCATACATATTGCAAGAAGCCAGGTTTGAAAATATTGTTTAATTTTGTTGACATATTAGAATCAACATTTTTTTTTACTGGATATGTCTTTGTATCACTCGCCATTCTCTCCATGTTTTCAGGAATAAAGAGTTGTGTAAATCAGGCGATGAATGATATATGAACAAACTTCTCAGTCAAGACATTCAGAATATAGAGAGGAATGAAACTGGAATGTTTGGTGTTATGGTGTTTCCGATGTGGAGATTTCTGGCTCAGAGTCTGAGAAAAATAATCACTTTGAGAAAAAGTTACCAGTAGGTGTCACAATAAAGCTTCTCCAGTTGATTACTCACATTAAGACTTTTTTTTAATTTCAAGTAATTCTGTGTATAAATATATAAATGAGGCATTATCTAATGCTAACTTTAGTCATTTAGGACAAATCCACAGATGCAAATAGACAAAGTAGTAGAATATAAACCTAAATGTGTATTTTGGGTGATTTCTTTCCACCAGTCTGAAATTAGACATGTCATGGCAGCAAAATATCATAATTGACTAGTGCATGAAAAAACAATGTTTTTTCATGTAGTGTCGCAAGTTTTCCATCTGAAAAAATTAAAGATTGGGGCAAAAAGTCTGTGTATGCTAGAATTTCAAGGCTAAATTTGGGTAGCGGAATACATCAATTACAGAATTAATGTTTTTCATGGGATGTAGTTGTAGGAGTTCTGCATGATATAGTCTGTGAAGGAAGGGAACCAGTCTTTGCTCAGAGTCACAATGTGGGTGAACCAGGGGTAGAAGAGCTCCGGCTGTCTCGTGGCTCCTGTAATGATGATGTTCAAGGCTGCATCTGTGGCGGGATAGGCTGGTACATTTGTGACTGCCCTACAGGACACAGAAAAGCACTGCCATTAACTACTGTGGAAAGCAGTTGTTAACATGATGCCAAATACGTTGCAGCAATTCAATATACAAGTATCAGCGATTGCTCTGATGTAGCTGTGAGACACTTTGCATTCGGACTTGACTGACCTGACTTTTTCCATAGCTGATTGAGTGTCAATGAGCCCCAGTGTACATATCGAGATGGACACATTGCTTTTCTTCATAGCCAGCTCATGGTAAAGGGCCCCGAAGAAACCATTCAAGGCAAATTTTGTTGAGGTATACGGTGCCACGAAGGGACTGGGCATTTTACCTGTAAAGCATCAATATATTAGTTGGATGTAAAAACATAAAAATCTATTGTGGCCTTCTTTTGGCTTAATTTATGACATTCACAGGTTTAAACTTGTGTGTAAGTATAAATTAGGAACTTTCATTGGATTCATCAGTATCTGAAAAAGGACACACTTCCCTTGTGTATTTACATGTGCTGTGGTATACTTAGAAACTCATCTAACTCCTTTAACTCCTAAGAAAAAAATGGAAATTTGAACAGCTCATAAATGGATCTTGAGGTGAATTTGTTTATATAATGTTTTATATGAAAAAGTGCTGTACAAAGCAGGTTTATAATATGAGTATTAATATAACAATAATGTAAAAATAACGAGGCCCAAATTCCACAATGTTTGTTATTACTGGGTGAAAACTATATAATACTGCATGCATACGTATATGTTTCACAGTTTGCGTTCATCAACGTGTATAAATATGATAAACTTACCTAAAAGCGATGAAACAACCACCAGTGCTCCTTTACTTTGCTCAAGGGAAGCCAACGCTCTCCAAGCCATCTGAGTATAGCTGAGGAAGTTGACCTTTGGAAAGCACACACAAAGATCTGTGCATTCGCCTCGTTTTATGTTGCAGATAGACCATCAGAACGCTGCGCTACCTTCATCAGCCACCTGGTGTGCTCCACATCTCCCTCCCACATGCTGAAGGGGCTCTGGCCGATGTGGTTGAGAACCAGGTAATCCAACCCTCCGAGTTTTTCCAGAGCAAAATCTACAGCTTTGTCGGGGTCTGAGTCGCTGGCCATGTCTGCCGCTATGTAGAGAGCTTTCTGGGCTCCCAAACTCAGGCATTTCTCTGCCACCTATAGGCAGTGATGAGACAGAAAGGATCCAGTGCAATTGCAGAAAAGAGTATAAAGAAAACCAAATGAAGATCGAGTGTTATTACATATAAACAATCAAGCTGTTGTCTGTCCAGACTATGTCTTACTATGGACACAGAACAGAACTAGTGGTTGATACACGTAGTGGTTTGAGCTTTATTTTTTACAATGTTAAGTTCACTAACCTTCTGTAACACTTTCTCCCTCCTCGCTGTAATTACTACCTGGGCTCCAAAGCGGGCATAGTGATATGCCATTTGTTCACCAATACCCGTACTGGCCCCAGTCACCAATACCCTCGCACCTCTGAGAGATTCTGAGAGAAAAATGAAACGCACGAAACAAAAGATATGTGCTGTGACCACAATTGCGTTGATTGAAATTAATAAACATTTAAATTTGAGTGCCACTGTTACAGGTATGTTGCCTGGGAGGTATTTGTGCCAACTGGTGTGTGATATAAACTTGGTAAATATCCATTTGTATGTGGTAATTAAAAAAAAAAAAAAAGACAGAGTTTTGAAAGTGCTTTGATGACATTGAACTGTTATCTGACATCAACTCTGTAAACCCACGATCCCCGTTCTATCTAGAATCCTTCAGCACAAGAACATAAAGATTCAAGGATCCTTTATTGTCATTCTGCAACACACGGGAAGCACAACATGTGCAGTTGTATTCCAGGTCTGTTTGTGCTACATCCGTCCTGCGGTGCATCAGGATGAATGCAAACAGCAGCAATAAACGCGTTCAAAGGTCAAGACCGGCCGTTTCACTTGAAAGGGCTTTTAAACAGTTTTGACCCAATGTTCATTGGACTCTGACACTGAGCTAAGAGATGTAGCCACAACCGTCTGTCCCTTCTCTGTACAGTCAAATAGTCCCTTGTATATGTACCCGTGCTGTGTACTAAGCTATAGTATCAGCCGTGGTAGTTAGTTTGATATAATGTCGCAATTGTTGAAAACACACGACTACCCCATTGACTCAAGCTATATGTAATTCTATGACTTGCGGACACTGGACTGTACACTGCCTTCCTCACAGTAGGGATAAGTGCTGCGTTCTCCCTCGGTCACAAGCGGAAAGCGTGTCAGCTTATCACCAATTACTCGCTCAGTTTGTGCTTCCTTTCCTAAACTCCCACCAGGGGAGCTTTAAACTTTCCTCCTCGTTATATGCAGGCATTTTGAGCGAGCATCCCATCGCTGTTACATGATGAGTTTGCACGGTCCACATTCAAGACTTGCAGCGTGAAGTTGAGGCTGCGCGGTCCCGTTATGTCGTCCACACTGTACACGTGATGAGGCAGTACACGTCGTGCTGATGTGCAACATTCCAACTTTATCTGTACAATATTGATCCACTGATTAGATGATATGGTTATCATAATGTAGTAAAATGGACTGAGGTCATATTTTATAAATGTCTTAATGGCTGCTTATCCGACAGCCTTGAGCTACACACAACCGATTCAAGTCCTTTCGGCAGCATGTGGATTCCAGTCGTTCAACCCACAGAATACTTTCATGTTCAACAATAACGAGATGTTGGAGGAGAGTTAAACATTAAAAACACGAGAAATGTATTGTGGATGATTTTTGCATTAAATAGACGCATTAATGGTGCATTAGAGAGATGCTACCGAGTGGTTCTGGAAAGGGGGGGGGGAAGCAGATCAGCAGTCAAGACAACTTAGATAACGTCTTTTAAAAAAAGAAGCACATAGCAATTCTGCTAAATTGGCCAGTTAATGTTCTCTATCCAGGTATGATACGGTGGTGTGGTGGAGACTGTCGCCTCATAATCAGAGGGCTACGGATTCGAACCTGCTGGTCTGAGCATTTTGTGTGGGCTTTGCCTCGCTAACGACATGCAGGTTAGGTATGTTGTTGATTCTAAATTGCCTGCAGGTGTGAATGGTTGTCTGTGTCTGTGTCATGTGATAACGTGTACGACCTGTTCAGGATTTACTGTGCCTTCGCCTTATACCTTGATAAATGCTTACAGATAGTGAACAGATGTAATCTGCCACTGCACATTATATCACAAACCTAATTTGCTGCAATAACTATAATATTCCCTCATTTGAACTCTCACAAAAAATATTTCCCAAAGAGGTTTGCGGAAAACTTTCAACAGAATACTGTTCAGAACAAACCCCTTTCTATGACAGCGTATCTCCACTGTCAATACTACAGAGGCCTTTCCCTCATATTTGTCTTCTATAAAAATTTCTGTGGAGATTTGCAGGGAAAATTCAACATTCATGAATTCAATTCTTCAGTGGTAATTCAAAGAAATGATCAAGAAAAGACTATTATAAAGATTAAAAGACTTTGTCTTTTAATCTTCTTGAACATTGTACAGGGCTTCATATTTTATGTGCCAACAGTCAAGAGTACTGACACAATATAAATAATAATAATAATAATAACACCCTTACAGCACTTTTCTTAGCAAAAAAGTGCTTTGAGAAATGAAATAAAACATAAGAAGGCAGATATTATAATAAGGCAAAAAGACATGAGACATCAGATAAATGCAAATAAATACAATATGAATAAAAGCATATATAACACATTCACAGAAGCTTTCACAGATGGAAACGTTTTTAGACGAGCTCTTCGGTGGACGAAGCCACTGAGGCCACTGAGGGGCGACCGGGAGAACTGGTTTCGGACACGTATTCGAGGCTACAAACAAACCACTTTATCTATGTGCACTTCTACATTAATGCTCCAACTCTGTGGAGTATAAATGTGTAAATGCACCTAGTGTGTCCTTCAAAAGATAGAAATAAAAACAAACAAACTACATCATGGCTCCGACATGTGCGTTAAGTTGGGAATAAATAAAAGCATGTAAGACTCTTTGTCAGCAGTTGATAAAAAGGAATTCGTTGTTGACACTGGAAGGGATTTAATTACGGCAGCAGCCGAGCAGAACAAGAATCGAGTCCTTTTTTACAGCAAACCTGATAAACGTAGGTTTTAAAGACCGAATGAACTAAAATGAACTTAGATAAGTTTAACTTTAGATAAGTCCACTTTGATCTTGCGTCTCTCTTACCTGAGTCAAAACGGTGCGCAGTCCACTTGACAGCCAGGAAAGCGACACAAGCAGCAGTTAGTAAGACTTTAGTGAAAGTTCCCATTTTGTGAACTTGTTGGTAGTTTCTTTTTTTTTAAGCACCAAGTGTCCGCAACAACTCCACCACTTTCCACAGCTGCCTCGCGCGGGGAATGTGAGGACACTAAAGGGCCATTCATGTAATCTCTCCTGTCCATTTCTCGTGGCGTGCGTAAAGTGGGTGTGTTTTTTGAATAAAAGCTTTGTTGAGCTCGATTCGGACCAGGCTTTCGACTGAGTGTGGGTGGCAGCCAGAGCTGGCTACTTCACTGACTGCTCGTATAAACCAATTTGAATCGTTCCTGTTGTCTAAAGTGCATAATTTGAATTTCAATAAACAAGTATTATTCTGTTGTAGGTGAACTCTTTTCTTCTCTTCCACTGTAGTATTAATGTAATCATTCATGTTGGAGTTTCCATTCCTTACTTGAATAGTGTTATCTTATGTAAGTCCTTTATCAGTTCCTCCTCCACCCATTACCAATTAAAACATTAAGATAAAATAAGATAAGATATCAACTTCAGTGGCGGCCGTACATTTTATACCTGGGCCTTCATTGCTGTTCTACAGTTGAATAACCTCATTATGACCTACAGGTTATTTGTTTCGTGTAAAAGCTGCATATTCACATAACACTGCAACATTTGACAAGTGAAATAAAATATTACATGAAGCTCAACACCTACAAAACACAAACTGCAGATACATGAATACGTGCATGGCGGGACGCAGCGTCATTAACAGACAATGCATATACTCAAAATCAATGTAATTAACACAATGACAAACTCACAAGAACCAGTCACATATATTTATATGACAACAAAGCATGACAAATCAACCCAGCAAACCTGCAGCAGATCCACGCATTCCACCACACAAGAGCACGAGCCATTCAAATATTATTCATAAAAACCACACGATAGACAAATGAACAGTAGTAACGTTACTGCAGATGTAAACAAACAAACGCACTTCACTTACCAAATGCTGTTCACTTAAATATCGCCCACTGACCAATCACAGCGCATGCTGCACCTCACTGCAGCGCTGCACCTGAAAACTGAGCTGCGAGTTAATGTTGACGTACTTGTAGGTCAGCTAGCAGGCTCTGGCACGTCAAAGAATACGCCCAACATGTCAAACTAAAGATCTGATTGGTTGAAGACTATGACAATCAACAATATCGTCCCCATTCACTTAAACTGCAAAGAGATCCACTTGCGAGTCTGCAGGCCTCGGGCCTCTCTTCTTACCTAGAGACACAGAGGTGAAATCTGATTGGATAAAAGCTCTACTTAAAACAAGCTGTGCTGGAAGCAGAGCAACTGAGGAAGACTGTAGCTGTGCAATAAGAACATAAGATAATGGGAAGAATAATTTTATAAATTACACATGTAGTGTATTTATGAAAAATTATTAAATTATAAAATAGCTATAACTTTGTGACTCTGTTTAGGCCAGCAGAGAAGGCCTTGAAGGCCCTGACGGCCCACCACTGATCAACTTTAGTAATCCCAAAGGAAATTCTTGTGCCAGAGATTACAACAAAAAACAATCCAATAAAAAATATAAAACATATCTGAACAATAGAATAGAGTAATATGTATTACGTGTATAGGAAATCACACCAGTGCAAAATAGAATAGCAGTAAGGTAAATATAGTTTTTTTTTTTTTAAATCTACTAAAACAGAAAAAGTAAAGAACAAGAAACAAGAGTTCTCAACACTACCTTATTTGATCTGTCCCTATACATCTGGCTGACCTGCTTCTCAGACAGAAATACCTACTTCTATTTGTTTGTTTGAAAAACAAAAACAACAAAAACATCTCTTTCCTTTGGCCGTAAATTGCCGAAATTGTGATTTTAATCCATAGACTGTAATCGCTATAGATGCAAAAAAGAGGAGACGAATCTGCGGCTCTTAAATAACGTTAGCGTTGGCTTTTGAAAAGTAAAACTTTATTGACACAACCTGCGTGCGCAGCGATCAAGCGGGGTTGTCCTTCAGTAATAGCCTGAGCTATCCCGATAGCCTTCACCTAAGCGAACCTAGGCGTACCTGGAACAACAGTAACGTTACGTTAAAAGGAAACTACACCGTTGTGGACCATGGCGGCAAGGATTTTGCCCGTAGTGAAGTTAGTATTTTTATTCCACCCGCAATTTCCCTGAAGTCATTGCTGCTGTAGTTAGCTAGGTGCCAGCTGCACTATTAGCATGTTAGCTAATAGTTTAACGTTGCTGTCAGTTTGCCCGAGAGCTTTCCAGCTGTCCTCTTCAAACACTGTGTTTACTGGTTGCATAACTAGTTGGCTCAATAACTAACTAGTAACATTATTACATACGCGTGTTGTTATCAGTTTGACATGTTTATAACTGGATACAGAGGCGGGCTATCTGGTGTTGGAGCCTGAATGCATTTGTTCTTTGATTTTCAGATTGGCCACTAAGTTGACCATTGCAGGAGGAGCTCTGTACATCGCCTGTGACTCTGGTCTGTTGGGAAGCAGTGAGCAGGGCTCAGAAGCCCTAAAGAAGGCCAAGGCTGCAATACCCCCCGCCATAGAGGAATGGATGAAGTACTTTGGCCTGGAGGTAATGCTACAGATAAGCTGCATATACATCTTTTCCCCCAAAATGACTCTGCAGTAGGCAAACAAGCCAGTGTCATATACAAAGGTTTTAATGATTCACACAATAGATGAAATAATAGATTTATGTTTTAAGTGTCCTTCTATCTCATGGCCCATCCCTCATGGAGTTATACAATGAAAATAATAATGTATTCACAGTATGTACAGTGCATAGCTTACACAAATCAGTTTTAAAAGCAACAACGATAGTAATATAATCAAAATAAAGCAACTTGCCTGTTTATTTCCGAATGAAGAGGCAGTAATGCCGTTGTAATCTGGACACAAAGATACCTTTATTTCTCTTTGGTAGACTAAAAACAACACAATTTTCAGTAAAGTTAGTAGTCGGTAACTAAGTTACAGTGTGTTCTTTCTACAGAATATTCCAATTATACTTCATAATGTTTCATATTTCTAATCCCGTGGTATTCTGGGGTAATATGCCCACTTTTGCACAAAACTGTCTGCCCTCCATCTTCATTGCCACTGGTAGGCCTGGCGCACTATTTAACCGCATGAAGCCAAAAAATGATATCTTTCACATTTCACTTCAATATCTCTCTCTGTACTGGTTTTCAAATGCTGCTCTATTTAACAGCGACAAAGCACTGTGCTGTTTCAAACTAAAGAGCCCTCCTCCTCTCCGCAGACTCAGCTTCCAACCATACCTAAGGTTGAATTCTCCCCGGTTCAGGCGTGGAACTCTGGTAAGAGCTGAATGAAAAGCTTGTTTCTTTTGCTTTTTTTTCAAAGAAAGGTCACTCATTCGATAAAGTCATGAGTTTGTGTTTTGAGCCCAGATTTGAAATTGTGGTTATGCACCTTACTTGTCCGATGCAGTTGTCTTGTTGGCATTTCATCGGGGCAGTAATTGATTTCAGCATCACTAATATGATTAATTTTAATTTGGTTGACAACCTAAATGTGTTTTCAATGCCTCAAACCCAAACCATTGATTTCTTTTATTTTATTTCAGGGGTGCGGCAGTCAATTTCATCTCTTTCGGAGGCTCCAACAAACGCAACTAAATACACAAATCAGGGTTTGCAGTACCTGAAAGACCTCACCAAGTGAACAGGAACTCTCCGGACAGCCTGACATTTATCAATCTTTTTGAGTTTTGCACTTAAATAATGACGTTACTTCTTCAGACATTGTCCCTCCCAAGAAAGAAGAAACAGCCCAACATGAATGAAAACAGACAAAAAGAAGTTATGTGAAAGTCAGCTGCATGGAGGGCACTCTCTTGAAAGGGTACTGGGGTTCTCTAAAGGATATTGGCATTGTATTGTACATAATGCTAGGAAGCTAAATTTATTTTTAAAAACATTTTCATTTTTGTGTATACCACCATATTTAATTTTGCTCAGTAATGTCTAATATACAGTAGTTATTTTCCCCTTTGTTCTCTTAACTACCCAAATGTTCTGAAGAGTCTGTCTGTCTGTCTGTCTTATATATGCAGTTTCACCATTTGTGACTAAACAATACATCCATCTTGAAACACGTCCAGTCTTTAGTTTGATTTGTTGTGGAAGCTGAACGTTAAATCTAGGCGGCGTGTTCAAAGAACCAGACCAAGCAAATGTGCAAAACTCTTTATTACTCATGGCAGATTAACAATGACACAAATTGCCTGTCGATGCTGCTACAACTTCAGAGCAGGAAGTGATCTAATGCATGAAGAAGACTGTGCACAGTCATTTGTAACGACACAAACACCACACAGCACCACCAGCGGTGATGTACAGTGTAAACCTCTTATTTTTTTTTCCATTTTTATGTGGGTTTAACAAACCGTACCGCTTCTGTCACACATTGTCACTTCTCCACTGTCAAAATAAAGTGTTCACTGTTGAGATTATACAGTAAGAGCATACCTACTGACCGACTGGCTCACCGAGGAATACACTGAGCGACTTGGAGAAGACCGAGAGGGCAAAAACCAATTCAGCCGCTAGTGACAAAGTTGGGAGGAAACCAATATGGCAATCGTACATGTCATGTTTGCAAGACAAAGACAGTTCTAAAGACTAGAACCAGAGCTAGTTAGTTGCTGTCAACAAACTGGTTTGTCCGTTGAGTATACCGGTTAAATATTCAGTTTATATCTTATGTAAATAAACGACCCTTTCACTAAAAGCTGGTGGTTTTGATGACATATTCATATAAATGAGAGTAATCACAACAGGCAACATTACAAGGCATTTTACACAAGTTGCACATATTAAATACTGTCATCTAAATGTATTGCAACACTTTTTTTTCTTCATGCGTGAAAGCATTTATTCTGCCACATTTGCTCTTAAGGAAAAAAGCATTTTGGGGGGAAACTATATAGCGTACCATAACCTAAACATGTAAACTTTATACAATAAAGTGCTCCCCACAAGATCAACAGTGAGCTTATACAACCAATGAAGATGTGTGTAATATTTAAAGTACATTTTCATACGGCATTAAGAGCAAAACACAGCACTGATATAAACTAGATGGTCGCAAAACTTTCCTCAAGCTGTCAGTGAATGAAAACCGAATAGCAGCCTTCATACGCAATGACTCAGTAAGAGCAGTGACTCCATAAGAGCAATGACTCAGTAAGAGCGCAGGTAGAGATGCGGTATGTACAATATTGCAAAGATGACAAGCCGGAAGGCACTTTTATGATTTGTGTGGGATCAAATTTAAATGAGAATTTAGCAAACTGCGTCTTCATCACCAGTGCAAAATATCCGATACGATGCTGAATATGGTGCAACGGTGCAGGAGTATATTTCCACATGAGTGTAATTCATCTAAAAGGCTTTTGTAAATATAAGGGCCCCACTATAGTGATTTTTGCAATCCTTTCATTCCTTCCTTCCAGTACTAACACTAAATGTGATAATATGGTTACATAAATACAATACAAAAAAATGTATCGGCCCATTTAATTCAATAGACACCTCAGTGTTAGCAGTCTAGATATAATGTGTATATCATGCTTACTGGCTAGTTAGACGATCCAAAGAAAAGTCTCAAAAGAGTATTTTGAGCAGCTTTTTGAATCATACTTTAATTAAGATAATACTTTAAAAGGACAAATCAGAGTATCTCAATGACAGCAATACAAATGCAGTAACAACTGCACTTTGCAGCTGTTGGGCAGTGCAATCTTGGACTGTCCAAAACATAACAGTATAAAGTAGAACAGCAACAATAAAAGAATCCAATCTCCTCGAAATATAGCCAAGCATAGCGGTGCTACAGTTCTGCTGTGCATATGAAAAAACAGAGTGCACTTTTTAATTTTTTTCTCTTCTGAACAATAAAGCATAATAACTATTCAACCCTGACATGGTTTTGGGAAAATCTGATCGGAACGGGGGGGGGTGGAACAGAAGCAGATGGAGGGAGGCTGGAGAGTGTCCACCATCTCTAGGTGGTTTTCACCAGGTCATAGACATGGATATGAAAGTCATCATCATATTTGATGTAGTAGACGGAGGGCTTGGCCGGGACCTGGTAGATGACCAGGCCTGTTCTCTTCACGCCCTTGTCAGTAACATACTCCACCTGTTTCCCCACCAGACTCTCCGTCTCTTCTCCTGGCTTCCTGTCTGCGGGCAACAGGTGTTTGTTTTCTGAGGAGTGAAACATGAAAACAAGTCACGTCAGAGTTAGATCAAAACGTCCCCGCGTGTAACTCGGCAAACACCGCCGACTAACGAGTATCTCAAAAGTGGGTATAGAATAATGTCCCGTTTGGTTTCAGAGCAGAAACATGCATGAAAAGTATTAAAAGTAAAGGTTCTGTGTTATTCTTTAAACGGTCCATCTCATCTTTACTCCATCACAAAAAATTTACAGACCTAGAAAGCTTTAACAGACTGAAATATTAATATAGGAGTTTATACAGGCCGTAGTATCTTAGTGTCTTTCATGAAGAAGTCTCACTATCTGAATTAAAACGTGATTAGGTGTTACGGTGGATGTGTGCCAGAGTCAATAGAATATCCTCAAATTAAATGCAGCAGTTTGTGGATGTTTAAACATTCCGCAAGAAAACACTGCCTTCGTTCAAACACCAAGCACTCACTTTCCACCTTTTCTCTTGACAGCGTGATATCAAGAGTATCTGTGTCTGAGGCCGCAAGAAGAAGTGCTCACTTTTTAAAATATGTCATTTTCCCTGTTTGCTACTTGGGAGTCGAACCCTCTGACGTAGATTAGTGATAAATACAGACTTCAATGACAAACCATGACTGCTGGGGGAACTCACATGGTATCCATATCAAAAAAGATTTAACGAAAAATCATTTTCAAACGTCACATGGCAGATCGTTAAAGCTTCGGGGCAAAAAACATATTCAATAAACCTTTATGAGTCATAAATCTGTCTTTGTCTCACACACACAAATCACCAGTACCTGCTTCAGGCAGAATCCTGAGGTCTCCGTCAGCGTAGTCGTCCCACAGCTGGTACATATAAAGTACGGGGTCCTTTTCATAAGTGATATAATACCAGTTGGTCATGATGGGAGCTCTGGAGAGGACCATGCCTCGCCACTCGTTCTTCTCTCCATCCTCCTTTTCAAACAGATGCTCCACAGCTTTGCCCACCAGCTCCTCCGCCCCTGGAGGTATCTTAATCTTGTTGTTTACTACGTAGACACAGCCGCAAAAAAAAAAAAAAGGACATGCAATATAAAAGTGAGAAACATGGCGATTCATAATGCAACTGCTGAAGCGGCTTACTAACTCACCAACTTTCTCCGACAGGATCTGCAGGCTGGACACTCTCTCATCCTTGAACAGCTCGATGCCGTAGACGCAGTCGAAGCCGTCATACTTCACCATGAAGAGAGACGGGTTCACGCTGAGCCTGTCCAGCACCGTTCCCTTCCATTTGCTCTGGTTCCCCTTCTCGCGCCAGTTGTGCTGAATGCGGACTCCCAGAATGCTGTTGGGATCCGGGGTCAACGTGTCGCTCAGCTCCCCGCTACTCCGCTTTCTGGTAATACAGTATGAATATGCAGGTCAGCGGCTGCCGCCATCAAAAACCTACATTATATGCAGCGTGAATGTTTTTCATTCATTCCAGAAGTAAATATATATATGTAGGATATTGGGTATTTACAGTACTGTGTACCTGGATTAATCACTTTGACATGTCGCTGTTTGTGACATTATAGTTACTATTACATTCATTCTGTTCAATAACCACCGTTTACAGCATCACGTGATTGACATACACTAGCTTTGTTTTCTACATACCTGCCCCTTTTCTTGGACATGCCTCCAGAAAGTCAAAGGTCACTGATTAAGAGAAAGACAGGGCAAGGTTCAGGTATTATGTGAGTGAGCGAGACAGCTGCCAAACTTCACATGTACTGTTGTACTACACAGCATGAGGAAGGCCTCTGCTTCAGCTGAGAGGCTGGCCTTGTCTGGAAGAGACCCGAGACTGACAACTCCAGCAGCCAATAGATTAGCATGATGGAACAACTTCCTGGTATTTTACTTTAACTACACAGCCATGGAGGTCACTGTTTGTCATGCACAGTCTGCTGAGGCGAGACTGTGTACGTTTGTCATATTCGTTGCACAGCCTCAGTTGAGGATTTTATTTTAAAAAGCCATTGAAGAAAAAATAATTATGGCTGACACAAGTTCAAGAGCATATGTCAGCCATTTCTCTGTATCTGACAAATTACAGAATGTAACGTTAGCCGGTTGCATTTTTTGTGGAAACAACTTATATATTAGCTACACACATGACGAGGCGAGCCCGATAAACTACGCGTTAAGTCATGCCGTGTACCACCTGTGCTGGACTAAATCCAACACACCTACACCTCACACTGTAGGTTATCAATACCACTCTGTCCTAGCTTCAATGCAGATGTTACTGTGAGATCAGTGGAGGCGGCTAGCTTAGAGCTACACCCGCTCTTCGGTGTGTCTCCCCACCCCCCGCTGACGACAGGTAACAAACACCGGGGACAGCTGTGTGTTAACAGCCTCGGAACATGTCTTCGTTACCTTTACGCAGATTTCATGTCAGTATTGTTCGGCTCGTCTGGCAGAGAAATGCTGCCACACACACACACACACCAAACCCGCCTGTGTAAATCTCGCGAAACCTGTGGAAAATGGGAGATGCGGAGAGGAGACTCTAGTTCCCGGCGAGCCCTCGGTCACCACGACCGCGGAGACGGACGTGAACACGCGCGCAAGGAATACTGGGAGTTGGAGTCTTTTGGTGACAGTGATTCTTGAGTTTTTAACGACCGAAGTTACACAGGTGTTGCAGACAGTACTGCATGCTGCGTTCGGGTGTTTTCGGAAATAGCGTAATTACGGCATTAGTGCGTATGATTGACATGAAAACGTACACAACCCAACCGACCACAACAGGCGAAGTGAGGCCGGGATATTCTGTGACGCCAGAGTTTCCTAGAATTTGACTTAAAGGGGCAGACTGCGTAAGATAGGTGTCAGCATTACATGTAAAGTTCTTATGATTATGTTTCCGACTTCACTCTTTCTGTAACATGTACTGCCCATGACAACATTTTGCATCTTTAGTTCCAAAAAAAATCAGCAAACACACAACACTACAATTCTGGATACACATTGGATACAATTACATACCTTAAATAAAATTAAACCCACTGCTCATCTATGTGAATTATTTTGGTCAAACTTCAACCTTAAACATTCGGATGCACAAACTATTTGCATGATTCAAACCGGCAAGGACAGTTGCAAATGGGAGCACCAGAAGGCAGCAGCCGTGATGATCTTGAAATATTATCTGAATCATTCAGATAATAGATGTATGATGCCCATGATAGTGATATGCATTCATGCATATCACTATCATGGGCATCATACATCTGCATGGGCAGCTACATTCACCACTCGGGAAGCAATTAAGGGTTAGTGAGTATGTGCAACTGATTGGGAACATCTGGGCTCCTGCCTTCACAGATGTTTTACAGCAAGGTATTCATACATTGTCCCAAATGGAATCTTACAGAAAACAGTGTATTTGTAATGTCCTGAAATACGATCCTCTCTGCACAACTTCAATGCACCACTGTCACCTGAGCCTATATCGTCATTATTGTAGGAGCCAAAAAGGATGAGTACATTTTCTTGATGTGAAAAAAGTATGCTGCCAGGCTGTGGTTGGTATCAACCCGGCGATACAGTGGTAATAAATTGGCACCCGCTGATGACGTCATGGTCTTTCAGTGCCTGCACAGGGCGCGCAGCCTCAGGACGCCGACAGCCGAAGTAGTGTTTCAACATGTTTTAAATGAGTTACTTGTTCATTTGACACAGCGACAGTTACCGTCTGTCTTTGCTTTGAGTTGCCGCGGCATGTGCTTTACTTTTGTTGTTGTAGCGTAGTTTAACACACTCATACACACGTACATGTTAACCTTCGTTCATCCGCTTCATCTACTGGACAACAAACCGTGAGTAACCTGAATGGATGTAACTTGTTGAGCACTTATCTTGGCGATATTTCCATGGCTTAATGGACTTTAAGAAGGAAGCCATCAAAATGATGCCACGTTATTAATTACATTATATAATTAAAGTTGCAAATTCCGGTTGCAGTTTATAAGTTACAGGCTGTAAATGCGGATGATATCACGCTGCTAACTCAACAGACCTCACTCAGGCTGGACTTGTAGTTCAACTGAATGCCACGCCTGCTCAGCTTTCCAACCACTTTTATTCTTTATTAAATATGACAGTTACATGTATGCTGCAAGAATGACCTACCTACCAACCAAATATGCAAACATGAACAAAACTTGACCCATAAAATACAATTTTCACCAAAGTTGCAAACACAGAATTCATGGTTTCTATGGTGGTGTCACTCTGTCACATTTTTTCAATGTAAATAGCATTCCCATTGCCATTTTTATATTAAATTCAACTCACAGAAATGTGTTTGCATGCTGTTGTTTTTTTTTGTGAGATTTTTGCAAAAACAAGAAGTAACACAACACAATGTATTACCTCATTTAATTCACCACAGCAATAAAACAACATAGCACCACGTGTTTTTATATTAAAAAGAGCCTTATCTTGAAAAGTAGATCCCAATCAAGCATGCTGACATATTGCCGTTCGATCTAATCATCTTAATTGTTTTTTAACACGTCTGAAATCCATTCCCTGAAGGACGATATGCGTGTGTAGACATCAGGGGTCCTGGGGTTTCCGCATTGGCGTCCAGAGAAGGAGACGACGCCTGCTGCAGCTCCATCACACACCAACGGACCACCTGAATCCCCCTTTAACAGAAAAAAATATGCTTTGTTTGAAATGGCCTCTTTTTTTATTACCTGTGCTCAATATTAGTTGCTTACTGCACACCTAAAATAAGGTGCCGTCATTTTGCACCAGGGAAAAACAGATCTTTCTATTAACAAGATAATCTCCGATCTTTACAGGAGAAGATGTTTAGTGTGTCTCCATCTTTACACACAACTTCTTTTTAAAGGTTAGTTTGATTGCTCGATCGATGTCTTGCCAGTGCAATCTCTTACCGAGCAGAAGCCTTGAAAGACGCGGGCCCCTGTGCCACAAACCATAGTCCTGGTGATCGGAACACCTCTCCATCTCCTGCGACATGTCTTCTGTGGCAGGGCGGTCACGTTGACTTCCTGGAGCCTGTTTGGTAAGGTGCCGTTATCCCCTATATCCCCCCAGCCGGCTGTGATGCACCGACTGGATGCATTCAGCCGGCCCCTTTTCGGAGGGATCAGCTGCACTGCTTCAGTCAGTCGGGCTCCACTGCTGAGCTGAGATGAGGACATTAACGGTAGAAAAAATGTCATCTCAACATCATGTTGTGTGCTTTTTCTGCAAGCAAGAAAACACTATATACTCACTACATAGCAAAATTATGTTTATGTAATAAACAACAATTTAAACTGTCCTCACCTTTAGGAGCATGATGTCATTTGCATGCCCATCATAGTTGGGATGTGGAATGGATCTGACTGCACTGAACTCCTGCTTTGTAGGCTCATTGGCGGTCAGGGAACCAGCTCCAAGTACCACTGTATAAGGTCTAGAGATCACAATTGAATGACGATTGGACATTAGATATGCTCTTAAGGCCGGTAATAATCTCTCTTAACAGAAATCATTTGTCTGTCTCAAAGCATAATTTAAGTTTAAAGATACATTTTTCTATCTACAAATCACTGATTTGTAAGTACAGTACAACAATTGCAGAGACTTGAAAGTGAACATTTGTCAAAGAGTGCAAAGGTTTTAAAAATGACTCCTGCTTGAGACTTAGCTTCAGTTTGACAAAGAAATAAAAACAAATGTAATGTTAACTATGATGGATTACTTACGTCTGGCAAACTAAAAAGTCCCTGCAAGTGGATTTTCATACTGAATTGAAACAGGTGGCCGCGATATTAAAAAAAAAAAAAAAATCTTACATGGGTATCTGGCAATGTGCTGCCGTGAGTACGAAGTCCTCTCTCACCAGGGCTCCCCCACAGTTGTGGCGACCTCGGACTTGCAGCGAGGCCATGTAGGGGCGCGATTGCGGGACAGAATCTCTGCCTCCAACAATGTGAGAACCATCAGCTCCTGAAACACAAAAATCCTCATGCATTATTTGTTTCTCCAGGTATGTTTTTCAGGTTTGTAGTAAATGCAGAGGTATATGTCTTTGCTATGTATAGAGAGCTTACCATTTAGGACAAAGAGCAGCAGTAGCACGAAACTGGTTGCCATGGTCTCTGGTCAAATCCACACCTGCTACTCACAGTCTTGTCATTTTTAGAGGAGAAAATATCTTGCTTATCCTGTGGTCTTTATTGCTTCAGTGTGTTTGCTAACATGCCCTGAAGTCATTGGTGGAATTACAAAATATGTGGTTTTTAGATTTCCAAAACAAGGCATCATAGTTGATGCAAGAAACCGGTGGCGATAGAGACATAACCGCGGCCCACAATGCTCCGAGGGTTCAAACTGACATTTGTATCACCCAAAAAAATCCAACTACTTGTTTAGCAAAGGTAAACATTTAGGGATAAATGGTAGTTAAACTCCACAAAGGGGCAAAAAGAGGAAAAAAAGGGCCATATGTGTGTCTATATGTGGCAGATTCTTACAAAGTTGTGGTTTATTCCTAAATGATACTGCTTAGATTTAAATCTTGCAAAGTGTGATGAGTTATTTCGCTTTCCTCTTTTCATCCCATTGCATCACGTTGAGTGTTGAAAAGAGAGTTCTTAAGAAAGATTGTGGTTTTGGGTAATGCAACGTAGGCTTCTGCAAACAGCTGCTCTACCAGGCAACTGAGTCTCAGCTGTTTGGGATTGGGTGCATCAATTTTGTATTCACAGGTAAAACTCTATTAAGTGTTGAGCTCAACTGATCACTGGAGGAAGAACCTTTGCATTTGTTTTATTGACTTGAATATCATTTTATATCTCTTGATGAAGACCGTTACCACAGAAAGCTAAATAATACAGCATTTCAAATTGAGATTAATTTGGAATGACTATATATGGTCAACTTTCTTATGGAGCACTGAGGCTCTTTTGTGTGGGTCTGCTCAACAAACGTTTCTTTGAAAAGTGTGACAAAGTAGCTGAACCACAGTAACCACAGTTTCCATGTTCACACTGACACCAGACTCCAACATGTCTTTGAGTTAAATGTTGTGAAAATCGATCTTATGGACTGGGGATACTGCAGGCTAGAGACGCACATGCACAGCTGACCTTTGCCCTTGTTTCAGCTGAAGTGCCTCCTGGATAAGATAAATAAATAAATAAACATTTTTATAATATTACTGGTACTATTTGCTTTAAACACAATGCAAATATGTCCTCCGTCATATTGTAGGTGAAGGTGTACCGATTCTGCTGCATTCATATCTTACAGCTCATTTCTGCTTTATAACAGGCCCTTCAGCTCAGGTTACAAAGCCTTATACTAAGGAGACAGCTAGTAAATTAAATAATGAGGTTATGCTTGTAAAAGGGTTGAAATAGCTCTTTCTTTTTCAGTTGATTCACACATTATTTTTGTTCCCGCCAGGATGATCATGAGATTGGTTGCGTGTGTGCATGCGTCTGTTTGTGTGTGTGTGTGCGCGTGCATGTACGTCCATGACTGAATAAGCGTGCATCTCTGTGTCTGTCCACGGCTAATCTCGCATTCTGCTGAAACCAAACTGCATAATATTTTCGGGGTGCCCAATTATGGCTGCATACTCAAGGGCGTATGTGGTCGCAGCTTGACAAAACATATTTTATTGGCTGCCTGTTAACTCCTCACTCACTACTCTTAAACCGGCTGCTAGTGACAACACAGCTGAGGCCATCTGCTACTTTGCGCCCACAGTTGGAGGGGGGGGGGGGAATAACATATTGCAGTGTGTTTGGCTAACAGCTAAGACTTTGGACGGTATGCTTGGCTAACAGCTAAGGAACTACCAGTAAACATACTGCTGTACCAGCTCACTTTTATAGATTTGATCGGCGTGTTTGGCTAACCGCTAACAGCACCACCAGTACACACACTGCTCTACCGCGCTGCAACTCAGCTGTTGCTACGTGGCCAGACAGCTTTGTGAGTTTAATTTTGTTTTTGGCAAGAATGTATGAAGTGTCTTATACGACAACTTTGAGACAATAGTCTGGATTCATCGCTGCTTGATTTTGGGTTTGAATGAAGCGCGTTGGGGGGCAGGCCAGTGATGGGTTGTTTTCATTCAATCACACAGTGCTGCAGTGGTCATTGGAGACGCACCTCGCAGAGATTGTTTTTTTTTTATTGTTTCAAACCCACTGCTTCTGTAATTCTCTACATTTCAGTAAGTCCCTTAACGAGTGTCCTCACTGGCCAACTTCTGTGACCAAACTTCTTCATGAATATCTGCCAACACAAGCCAAGCTCCTGGAAAAAGATAGTGTTCCATAAAATGTGGTTTCCAGTCCAAAAAAGGTATAAACATCTTACATCATCTTGAAAATGAACAAATGAAAATACTTCCTCCTCACAGGGTGATTCTGCTGCAACAGGCTGGCTGTTGATGTTGCGTCTTTCAACTGTAACTACCCAGATGTACCCAACGTCTACATATCTCAAATTTCCTTCTCCGGATCAACCCATCCACATGGTTCTCTTAATTATTCAAGTCTGACCCCTTTTTTTTTTTTTTACAGCAGTTTGATCTTCACAGTTTTATTTCCATCTATTTTAATTTCCTGCCACATCTTACGGGCGATGCTATTTTGCAACTTTGCAAAGCATATACATCATGTGACTAATACATGTGAAGGAGCGAACTCAAACTGCAGGGCTTCAGTACAGTATTTTTATTTTATTTTTTTATCAAGAGTCACCTGTGACGAGCTTGAGACCTCGGGCAGACTGAACACGAGAGGATGTGTCCCCATCACCAATACATTTTACAAATGAATTCAGTCCATGCAGTTGTCTTGTGTATAAGATCAGTGAAGTACATTTTTGCAGCTTTAATTCTGTTGGTATGGTCAAACCAAATGAGTGATTGTAAACGGGTAACATGCTACCACTTTCTAATAAGGCACCCTTAATTCATGCTTTACAGATGAGTTATAAGGGTTAGGGTACGAGGTACAAATACTTATCACGTTTACGCTATCACGTTTATACTCCACTTGATTCACACGCTCAACATAACCATTATTATTACTGTTGTTTTTGTTCACTTAAATACAATTTGTGTTTTCTGATGACATTGTTAAAGAAGGAAATCAAACACGGTATTTGCAATAACCTTTTATTTTGAATTTCGGTCACACTGATTGAACGCAAAACCTCCATAGTACAGTGAATGTATGCTTTGCAAGATTTTCACTTGTAACGTTTGAGGACGTCATTGATCCAGGGAAGGTACTTTGATACATCGGTGTAGACGTTGGGTTTTTCTGGGTATTTACAGATGTTATCATTGTTGAAAGACACAACACCAACAGCCTTCCCGTTGCACACCAGAGGACCACCAGAATCGCCCTGTGAGGAGGAAGAGGCTTCATCAGCTTATTCATTATGTGATTTTAGAGGTTTGTAGCATTTCTATACCAGCTGACATGTTCTATTAACAGACAGAAAACCCACCTGACAGAATCCTTTCTCTGTGCCATATCCACCTGCACAGATAACATTGGCAGGAAGATTACCAATATGACCCCATTGCTCCTTGCAGACTTCCAGGTTGATGATGGAGACGTCCACCACTCTCAGATCATCAACAGCTGGACCACGAGTCTTTATAGCTCCCCATCCAGCCACCTTGCAGTTGTCTTGTGTGTTCATTTCAGATGTGGGAAGAGGAATTGTTTGCACCCGTCTGTTCAGTGAAACCTTCTTAGACAGCTGGAGACACACAACGTTAAAACTAATGCAATGTCTAATTTCATAACAATTGCTGGAATATGGAGCTGATAACAATAAAAAAGATGACTCAACAAAGTGATGTCACCTGGAAATATGTACTTACTTTGAGGAGCATGATGTCACTACCATTTCCAACATTTTCATAACATTTGTGTTTGTATTTTTGTTTAATGGATATCTTGTTGTCATCATTAACACTCTTGAGATTGTGGGTGCCAAGAACAACATGGGTAATGCCACTGAATGAGAGATAACAAAGGGGGTGTCAGTACATTTTCTAAAATTATAATGTACAATAATAATTTCTTATTTTTAAAAAGTTGGTTTATATATCTTGACATCTTTTTTTTCAATTGATTTCTAATTACATGATTTAAAGATTGCTGGAAGAGGAAATGCTACTCACTCGTCACAGTGTGCAGCAGTGAGCACAAAGTCCTCACTGATCAGGAACCCTCCACAAAGATGACCTTTGCTGTCCTGCAACGAGGCCATATACAGCATCGAGTTCTCCGGGGCTAGTTCCCCATTTATGATTTCACTCCCATCTGCTGCAAAGATAAGAAAATCAAAATGAGGTTAATGTCCCATTAAATGGTTGGAAAATGATAATAATACTTTGAGAATCTTACCGCTTCGCCCGAGATACGCCAGGAGAGGAAAAAGCAGAAATGTGTGCAGAGGATGCATGATGCCAGCAAGACAGCTGACCTGTCTCTCTTCTTGGGGCTGTCATGTAGACCCTTTTATACAGCTTTGCTGTGTTGGTTAGCGTGATCCTCATGTTTTATCTTGACTTTTAACCGCATCCTTTGTTCAATGTCTGTTTGCCAGTTTGCAACGTACGTTATCTTTGCATCATCTTGTTTTTTATGTTTTCTGATGTCTCAACAGCATGAAGCACTTTATGATCAGCATGCGATGACTTTCACACATTCGTTCACATTCTTCCTCTTTTACCTTTTATGTCATTCATTATTCACTTTTACATTTAGGACACTTTCAGCCTCTTGGTTGAGTTCATTCTCGGCCTCCTTTCTTCAATTGCTGGAAATGCTTACTTTAGATTTATAACTGCAGACTTTATGGCTTAGTAGAAAGTGAAATAAAATTATTAAAAGATGAGAAGATAAATTATGGCCTGTATGTAGAGATTAAAAATCTGGATTACAAACTGGGTATAGCCGGCAACTGCCCTGAACCTTTATGTGACCAAAGTCTCCAGGCTCACCTTGTAGCAGGTTGTTGTCTCTTATATGTAGTTTTAAGGCCTTGATTATTTCGGGATACATTGTTCTTAAATACATTCATATATTTATATATATTGTAAATTATATTAAATATATTTTGACATAAATCAAGCAAATGGCATTTACACAAAAAGACCGTCACTTTCTCTAACAAATTTGAATATTCAAACAAACGTGGGACATCTTTTTACATTTGAACTGTAATGACTTGTTTGAATTCAAAATGTGTAATGTATCAGCGCAAGAGACTATTTGAAGCAGTCTGCTAAAAGCAATTTTTTTGCCTCGAGGCACCCTAGTGGGTTAACCTTGGCCTGACTTTGTGTTAAACATATCCGACTATGCAAAATTCCAGTGGTGGGCCGTGTATTTTATACCTGGGCCTTCGGTGCTGTCCTACTACTGTTGAACCACCTCATTCCCAGCCATAAAATGTGCAACACTTCTACGACACTGTTAACCAGGAATACCGTTCGTAGTTGCTGAACTGAAAGTGGTGCACAAATCCTTTTCCTGGCTGAGTCAGGGCTGATGTCCAGCTTTTCTTGAAATATCCTTCTCCAGAAATACGTTTCTCTTCCTCCTTCAGCCATTGAGTGTTAAAAAAAACAAAGCTAGGTAAAATAAAATGAATCTACACCAAGCAAAATGCTAAAAATGTCATGTCAATGTCATAGCTTCTTACATATCTTTCAACTTGAACTCTTACTACTACTAAGTTCTGCTAGCTAGCTTCAGTTTCACAACAGCCACGCTAGCCCACTGACCAGTCACGCCACACGTTAATGCTGAGCCGCACGTTAATGCAGACGTACTTGGCTAGGCCACCCAGAAAGCTCTGGCACGTCAAAGAATACCCCCAACATGTCAAACTACAATCTGATTGGTTGACGACTATGAATCAACAATATCGTCCCCATTTACTTAAATAAACTGCAAATGGATTCCTGCAGGCCTTGGGCCTCTCCTCTTACCTAGAGACACAGAGGTGAAATCTGATTGGATAAAAGCTCTACTTAAAACAAGCTGCGCTGGAAGCAGAGCAACTGAGGAAGACAGGAGCTGTGCAATGAGATAATAAGCTAATGGGAAAAATAATTAGAATACATGTAGTGTATTTATGAAAAATTATTAAATTCTAAAATAGCTATAACTTTGTGATTCTGTTGAGCCCAGCAGAGAAGGCTTTGCTGGCCCTGACGGCCCACCACTGCAAAATACATGACAAGGACGTGACCTCTGTTGTCTTGTAACAAGTCCATGTACTGCACAGCATTAAGGTATTTTCCCCAATCATGATTCCAATCCTGAACTCCAAAAAAACAAGAAAGATATCGTAATTGCCTTAATTAATATCCCATTTGTAGACTAATAATCACATTTTGCAAATGTACTAATTTGAAGCATACATTTGTTCATTTATTCTCTTTCTTCTTGAGGTTCATCCTTCAGGCGCTGATGTTATAGTTACTGTTAATGAAACAACTTGCAGATCTGGTGGTGCAGCATATGTGTAATTAGTACGTGACGGATTGGTGCATGGCTATTTTCTTCCTTCTCCATTTTTTAGTTTTTGACAGTTTAAATATCTATTTTGTTCATTCTGGGCCTTTTTCGACCTTCTTGCCACCTGTTTGTGGAAACAACTTGATCACAGCAAGTCAACTTATGTTGCAGTAATCTAACCAGTGAAGAACACAAATACAACAACAATATCCTTTGGTGTAGAAATACTTGGCACAGCCCGCTGAAACATTTCTCTGAAATCTCCATCAAACTAGACTTACCACAGTTTCCAGGTTCAGGTTTGAGTTTCGTTCTCACGGTTATGAAACTAATGCTAATGACCACAAACAAGCACAGACCTAGACATAAAAAACTTGCCTTACATATGACATTATGTAATATATAGTATTCGGTAAAAATGCACTCTTGCTGTCATGTTTTGTCGTTCACATTTATTCATTGTCATTATATTGCATCATCCAAATCAAACTGCATCAGAAGCAGTTTATTGCCAAGTATGTGACACATGCAAGGAGTTTTGGCTTGGTGACTGCTGCGTGACAATAAACATAGTGCAATAGTAAAAGACATCATTTAAAAATAGTACGTTGAGACAAGAAAGTTATTAGAGTGACAAGTGTGTATTTAAAAGAGTAGAGTTGTGCAATAATTGTTGTGCAGTATTTGTCCTGAGGATGTAAGTGTCCGAGTCAGTGGGGGTCCCGGGCTTTGTTAATGAGCCCATCATACAAATCAAACGACATTGTTCAGCGTTTTTCTCTTCATAAATCTATACTCAGATTCAGTTCCCATATACATAAATGTAAGCTGTCGCTGTCTGGTTATGTCATCGGCCGTATTACAAACAACAATGAGACTTTATCCAGAGAGGGAATGAACAACCTTGCAGAGTGGTGCTCAGAAAACAACCGACTGCTCAACTTCAGTGAAACCATAAGGAGCTGATTGCTGATTTTTAGAAAAAAGGAGGCGAAGACGCACAACCCAGTCTACATCAAGGGAGCTGAGGTGGAGCAAGTTAGCAGCTTTAAGTTCAGCATTACAAACAAGCTGACATGGTCATCACACATCTTCACCCTGGGGAAGAAAGCTCGTATGGCTTTATTTCTTAAGGACACTTAAGAAGGCAAAATTCCTGTGCCAAGTTCTTGTCAACTTTTACAGAGGTGCAATAGAAAGCATCCTGACTGCAAACATTACAAACTGGCACAGGATGTGTACGGCACAGGACAGGAGGGCTCTACAGAGGGTTAAAACCGCCCAGAACATCATTGACACCCATCTACTACCAATCAACTACCCATCTACCCCAGCCGTCTGGAAAAAGATACGGAGGTATCAGCTGCCGAACCACCAGACTTCAAAACAGCTTCTTTCCTCTAGCTGTGAGACTCCTTGATTCATCCTCCGCGCTCCATATATATTATATAGATTTTTGTTGTTTTCTTTCCTATCGAGCAAATTGGGACTACAATCTAAATTTCGTTGTGCAACCCTGTGGTACAATGACAAATAAAAGCCTTTGTGACCTTGTCACCTTGTAATTATACTCAGCAGAGAAGGCCAGAGTCAGACCAAAGGGTTGCATAGTTTCTCTGCTTTTTGACCATTAGTGGGCGCCACTCCAACAGTTTATGTCACGTCTGCCCCCTGAAGTGCGTTACAAAACTCCCTCAGTCCAAGCCAAACAATGTGTCCGTCATCCTTCTGATAGGAGAGAGAGTTGTGTGATGCACATTCATCCTGAGGAACAGAATACAAAATTACACATACTGCATTAAACTTTCCTTGCACTTCAGTCAAAGAGAAAGCACTGATGAAGCAATGCAGACATGACAATACCTGACTACACCATGAAAGCATACTGATGCAAACTATCTGTAAGTTTGTGCTTACTACGTTGCTTGTGCCTCGGGAGGTAGAGCGAGTCTTCCACTGATAGGAAGACATGGCGGTTCGATCCCTGGCTACCCCCAGCCCGCATTTAGAAATGCATTTGGGTAAAATACTGAACCCCAAAGTATCAATGTACCTCTGCCATCAGTGTATGAATGAGTGTTTGAATTGGGTAAATGTTGGCTTGTGGTGTCAAGTGTGTTGAGTGATCGGAAGACTAGAAAGGTGCTATATAAATGCAAGTTTGTTTACCAGTCAGCAATTATTTTCCTGAAGGAATCGTTTTGTTACAAAGCAGGTATTTTTGTGCAGCACCCTGATCCAATATTGAATACATCATTGTTTCATTTGACATATGTTTTAAGTTATAAATGTACACATTTAAATATGGACTGACTCATTAATGTCTTTTGAATAATTAATTTGATTGAAATATTCTATGGTTAGAGTAGATTTTGAAATTGTCATGGCCTATGTGTCTTTATATTGGTGACACTTTTCATGTGGATTCAAATTAGCTCCAACATGCACACCCTCAATATGTTACCATGGACTGAGAACTAAAAGAATCCCAGTTATCCAGGACTCTACTCTTGTGGTCATTTTATTATCACGAGGGGACATGCCCTGTTGGTCATGTTAGTACATTTACGACTGTGTGCTTTGCATTTCCACGTGTTGCTCATATTGTGACATGTATGTTATTAATGGCCTACAGTTGTTGCTAAAATAATACATGGGAGTTTTAAGATCACATTGACAGTATATTTATGTATTTATTTAAGAGGATCCCCATAAGCTGATGCCAATGGTAATAGCTAGTCTTCCTTCAGTCCTACATCCAGTACATCATATCTATGATATACATACTGTAAACATTACAGTTGTGCTACATTATGTACATCACATGCATTATTAATTGTTTTACATTAAATGGATAAATCGGGTGTTATGAAGTGGGGTTGTATGAAGTACTTATCCATTGTTAGTGTATAACTCATAGATGACAGTTGGTACTCTCCCAGTGTGGAGAAACCCAGTTACCGCATGGAAGCAAAGC